ATGTAACTCAATAAAAACTAACTAGAGTAAGTGCAAAGGAAGAATTTATTAAATTGTTCACAGAGACAGTTACACCTCACCCCACTCTCCAAAAGTAGTAGCAGTAGCGGTAGAGTTGCAGCATATTTGTATTGAAGGCAGACGTTGCGGTTGCCCTGCAAACCAGGGTTCTTGTCCCCCCCCCATCTGGCTCAAGAGGTTCTGGGGCGCCCAAATCCCTTTCGGCCTTCACAGCCATCCAGAGCATCATTTACCCATAGTATATCATTGGATGCAAGTAAATATATATGCTTTTCTAGCCAGTCTGAAGACCAATGAATACCAATTATTTTCTCGAGTGTTGGGTTTAGATTCGGTTTTGTTTTTCGTCTATTCATGTTAAATTTCAACTAAATGGAAAACATATTGAATTTGCTCCATTTAATATAATTTAACAAATAATTTTGTGTCTCTCTATTAGCATAACCCTTTAGAATAATAAATTAATTGAGGAGGCTTACATTTTCAAATTATTTGGTTTAAAGTTTGCATCCACTTTCTTCAGTTAGAATTGATGGATTGGAATTTGCAATTGAAAGGAACATGAAAATAAAAACGGCGGGGGACGGTCATATGGGGCATTGGATTAGTTTTGATGGGGAACGCAGCCAAATCCTTTTATTTCGTGAAATCTTTGACTATGCGATACAAGAGCATCTTAAAAATGTTGAATGCATAGTACTATCACAATAAATGTCCTAATGCAAATTAGCAACAAACGAATCACTAAAATATGTAATTACTTTCTTTTATTGACCTATGAAGATAAATAATATTTTTTTAATTTTTTCTTTCCCATTTTTCACATCTTGTAAAGACAAGATGACCCATGCGCAGTACACAAGATGTTTACCTGTTGACGAAAGGATAAAGTAAATTAATGTCATTTGTTGAAAATTAGACTTTTCAAGCCGATGAAAGATCATATATTTTTCAGAGGCATCACGTAAATTTCGAGAAATAATCAGCAATTTATATACTAGACGGTAAGCAACCCAATGATCGATGCATGTTACGATATTGGAAAGTTTGTTTCGTTTGTTGGTTTCATTGGCGTCGCTTTGGGGTGGTAACCGCACACGTGACACCCTCAGACGGGGTGACACCAAAATGATAAATGTTTTGAATTTTTGTGCAGAAAGGAGGTCTGTGGGATGACACCATGAGTTACAGCACTGGGTGACACCAACCCTAGTGACACCACTTTTTTGGTGTTTAATTTTACAACATACCATGACCATAAATTGCCTGGAAAATCCATAGATAATGGGATTTTAAAAAAAAATGTGCCCAGGAAAACAAATCCACTGCAGTCAATCAGGAACTGATCTGGACAGAAACCACACCTGTGACCCTTGGGATGCAACTCTGTCACTTACACTGTTTGCTGCGAAAATGACCAGTAACAGATTGTTGTTGTTAGTGCCGTTTATTAAAATTTTGTATCATATTAATTTGATGGTGCAAATTTGTTCAAAATGGACAGAATGACTTAGTCCCCTGAATATCCAGGAAGAACAGGTTTGATTAGATGGCTACTAATTCTTATAAAACATTAAATGTGTACTGAGCAATGAACAGAGCATGTAAATGCCGTAAAAAGATATCTAAATATGCTCTTGGCCAGTTTTTTTTTCTAGATGAAAGTTTCGCAAATTACCAGAAGCAACAATAATTTTGCAATTTATGGTATCGGTGGGAGGGAGTCCGCAATATAGACAGTCCGCTGGTTTTATACTGAAAATTACTGGTTTTGCAAACCCGTCAGCACGTTTTTTTTTCCTACACTGAAGTTTATGTATATAGCAAAAGAAACTTAATTTATTGAAGATCGATTCACCCTGCCACGTCTGTCTTGATAATCACGGCGAGTAAGCGATTTGTGATCGGCTCCAACAAACCCCTTATTTATTTCCCACTAAAAACAATATGTTAAAATCCAACTACTGTTTGCATGGAGGTAATAAACATTCACAAGAATGTTTTTAAATGAAATCCTGAGATATGTATGTTATATACCGTATGTAATCACTCATAAGTCGACCTAACTGTATTCAGCTTGAGTTGACATATAAGGCTATATCTCGGTAGTGCTTGCAGTTAGATCACGTTTATGTGAGTATATACTGTAATTTGATAACACATAATGGGTTTACGTATATTTTTCCCCCGCAGCGTCTAATTGTTTTTCTTATTTTTGAGTTATGTGCTTCACTTTTAATTTGCTAATGTGATGTGGGTTATTGGGTAGAACTAGCGCACCCCACCCCTAAAAGATATGCGCGAAACGAACAGAACGTTTCCTAGAGCATGTTTTATTTTATAGTTAGACAGTTGAAAAAATGGTTAAAAGTATGCACTGGAAACTCTTAACACCCAGGAGCATCATACGGTGTTCCGTTTCACGGAACCCCTGCTTACCTGTTGTGGCCAGCCCACCCAACCAATCTCCCAGGCTCCTTAAACGATGTTTCTAACTCCGGCACTGGAAAAGGGACACATAAAACATTACAGTAGGACGCTGCAGCCTCTGGGTAGGAAGATATAGTTTACTTTAACAAACGCTGTAACCACATCAGTGTGTAAATATTTTATAATGTTTTTGTCACAATTGTCTACGAACATTTTTCAAAGTTCTGTTTCAATTGCGGTATTACATTAAAAGTGGACGTATTTTCACTAAGTATGTCGTTATTGATACCTAAAATAAATACATCAAAGTATAAGCAAGAGGCTGAATTTTTGATTTTTGTGAATTGGTTGCTCCGCATCGGTTGAGAAATGGTCTTTTTTTTCATGTCATATAACAGCTGCACTAATGTTGACAGATGCTGTCATTAAAAAAAAATACTGCTGATATAGCTTTCTCACACATAAAAACACAACGTGTCTTGATGCTAGTGATTTAATTCTCGACATTTAAAAAAAATCTTCAACGTCTTCTAGATATTTTATAAAAAAAACAAGCATACTCCCAGATAATTTCGATCGGTGGTCTTCCATGTTGAGTAAGAATGGGAATCCACTTTACATCAATATTTTATTTATCTAAAATAAAAAATATACTGATATGAAATTGTATCTTCGTGTCCAATCATTAATTTGAAAGTATATCTTCGTTCTCAGTAATTAATTTGAAATCGTATCTTCGCACTCAGTCACTTATTTGAAGTCATATCTTAGTACTCGTTCGATAGTTTGAAATTTTCTTTGTAGTAATTAATTTGAAATCGTATCTTCGTACCCAGTTATACCTGTAATCTTTAAGGTTATTTCTTACAGTTGATACAATAATATATATATATATATATATATATATATATATATATATATATATATATATATATATATATATATATATATATATATATATATATATATATTGGTCGATAATTGAAAATGACTCTCAGAGTAGAAAGCTGAACCAGGAATAATTTCTTATAATTCATCTCGCTGATTTGGATATATTTTCTTTTTTTTCTCTCAAGGATCAATGCATATGCAATATTTTGGAACAATCTTGTCGCTCCCAAACCTGACTGCATTTAGACTTACACATGTTCTATATAATATGATATCACGTTATCTTTGTATCGGTTTGAGAATGCAACTAATACCATCAAAGTAATCTATTATCAAGAAAATACATTTTTACACTTCTACTGCGTATCACCCAGAAAAGTGTGAGAGCTGGTAGTTACAAATACATAGCTCAAAACCAACGTTGTCAACTCTGAAGAGGTAGCAATGATACCAAGGAAAATGAACGAGAATACGATGAGGTCGCAGTCCAGAAATGCACTTTATGTAGACAATGCACAAGTCCTTCTTAAAAGCGTCGTGCGAAGTGGAAACTTTACTATTTTAATAAATTGGTTAATACTCTTCAAGATGAAACCGTTGATCCCAAGGTGCTATGGAATGTAGCCAAAACACTTCTAAAGCAGAATAATAACTTTGAGTATCCACCGCTGATATATAACTATATAACAGGATAAATCTTCACTCTAGCTTCGATAGTGCAAATGTATTTAATACGTACATCTTTGAACAATCCTTTGTAGGCGGCACTTTCATACATTGAAATCTACACATCTCTGCTATATTAACTCTATAGTAATAACATTAGTACAAATCAAGTAAAGATTCACCTTTAAATATCAACAATAGCAGATCGGAGGGGTGGGGGTGTGGTTCTGATCCGATCTACCAACTATAGACACTTGCAGATCTTGGTGGTCTGTATGGTGTTGGTGTTGGTGGGGTGCTATTATCTAGATAATAATATATGTTTGTATATGGGGAGGGGTAGTGGTGGGGTCCTGATGATATCATCCAAATACAGACTTTGGCAGACCAAAGTGTTCTGGTGAGGTCAGCTAAATAAATCTATTTATATTGGATGTTTGTAAAATATTCAAAACATTTTCAAACCTTTGCATAATTATCTTACAATGAACAACCTATTTAGTCGCGTGCAGCTTGATTTTAAACATAAAGATTCAGCTAGTAACTGTGTGATAATTAGAAAATACCAATTGCATGGCAGTCGCATAAGTCTACAAAGTTATAGTGATATTTTTGTTACATATGCATGGTTTTTGATACAGTCTAGCACAAAGAACTAATTAAAAAAATAAGAAATGCTGAAACTGGTGATAGATAACTGATAAGGTCAATAAGTTTACTTTTAAATAAAACTCACAAAGTTGTGTGTGTGTGTGTGTGTGATTTAGATTTTTAACGTAGTTTTAACAATTTTTCAATCATATCGCTACGATATCTGCAGTGTGACAGTTTATAGTGATGTCTAGCACTGGGGCATCATGCCGCAGATATGTAGCATGATGTCCCACTCAGTCACATTATCCTGACACCAGGCCGACCAGTCCTAACACTAACCTCTTAATGCTTAGCGTCAAGCGAGGCAGCTGTTAGTACCGTGTCTTAAAAGTCTTTGGTGTGACTCGACCTGGGATAGAACCCGAGACCTCCCGCATCCAAGGCGGAGACTTTAACCACTAGGCCACTGGAGCGGTCACAAAGTTGATATAGATTTAAGAAAATGTCATGGTTGGTGTGCCATTAGAATATATGTTCCGTCTAACACTGTCACTGATATTCAGTCCAGTATAAGACTGTTTGCTGATGATTCTTTGTTGTCAATTATTGGAAAGACCAAATCCTGGATCCCGGTCTTCGGAGTGTAGACCTACAGAGAATTAATTAGTTGGCCGATCAATGGGCAGCAGGTTTTAATAAGAATGCAAACAAAACCAAAAATAAGGAAAAAATACTTAGAAGAAGAGTAACTCAAAACTTTTAATAAATTATGCCATTATCACACACACACACACACACACACACACACACACACATATATATATATATATATATATATATATATATATATATATATATATATATATATATATATATATATATATATATATATATATATATATTCATTCATTTCAAAATTAAACTTGTATATATAACAGATAGATAGATAGATAGATAGATAGACAGACAGATAGATAGATAGATAGATAGATAGATAGATAGATAGATAGATAGATAGATAGATAGATAGATAGATAGATAGATAGATAGATAGATAGATAGATAGATAGATAGATAGATAGATAGATAGATAGATATCTGCATTAAGGTGGAACACGAACTAATGAAAACAGGAAAATTACAAAAGATGTCAAGGATTGACGATGATACAAAATATATGGACGAAACGAGAATAATCTTCACGTAGTGCTGGTGTATAATATTTTTGTGATTCCTTAATACATGCACTGCTAAACCGATAATCTCATTTAAATCGTTTTTTTTAAATTCGAAAGGATTTAAGCTGTAAATCTATACTTATATCAAAATTATTTTATTTAGTAAAGAAGACATGACTCTATTAAATGTATTGCGCGAGCGCAAACACACACGCACACAGAGTTGCTAACTTTCACAGTCGTTAGTGTTGTGCAAACTTAAAGTCATTCCAGTGTGCATTTTATAAATTTATTCATTTTATGTTCAGTTATTAATTAAAAGAGAAATTTCGAATAAATAAATGCTATTTTTAGTCACGACGGCCGTATTTATATGTTGAAGAGGATCATTTCTACAATCCAGAAGTAACTTTATTCCTAAATGTTTTTGAAAAAATTTAAAACGAATGTCTGTTCAACAATGGTTTTTAAGCAGTTTTTTATATATTTATTTTTTTCCTTATTGTAAAAGCGACCATCTTTGATGCGGTTCCTTATAATTGGCACAAAAGTAAGGTCTTAATTCCAGAATACGTTCAGTCACAACTGGTACATTTCTGCTACTCTATCTTCGAGGAAACTTTATTCTACTTTTAGTAATATTAGAAACACGCGATGCCAGATCGGCTTATTTAGTACATACTTGTAAAGTCCTGCTTGCCAGAATATAAAAATTGCCAAAACAATTTTTCGTAAAGAGTTCATAGAAGTCAATGCTGTTGGACAACGGACAACGCTGACCACGAGATTTTATTGCTAGATTGACTAAAACGTTTTTGATCAAACGTTCTCATAACTCAAATCAAGAGTAATATTATGAATTTCCTATTGACTCGTCCATTCTTTAATGGCTAGGAATTATAAACGGAAACTCAGTCATTATGTGGCATACCGACTACTAGGAATAAGGGATGGTCTTTCCACATAGGCTATCTCAATTGAGTGATAACAGTTTTGGTTGTATAAACACGGTGACCAAGATCTTTTCAGTATTAGGTTCTTTAGATTGAGATAGAGAGAGAGAGAGAGAGAGAGAGAGAGAGAGAGAGAGAGAGAGAGAGAGAGAGAGAGAGAGAGAGAGAGAGAGAGAGAGAGAGAGAGAGAGAGAGAGAGAGAGAAAGAGAGAGTATAATCTAAATATGATCAAACTGGTGGAAACAGGAAAATTAATTGAGACATTTCGTTATAACTGTAACTAGGTGTAAAAAAAATGTACACATTAAATAATAATAGTTGATATGATTGCCAATGCAGATGTGGGCCAAAACATGTTAAGAAAACTTTATGAGCGGGAGAACATGCTAAAAAATATATTATCTTTACGTTGTATGGCAATGATAAAGGTAAAACACAGCAAGCAACAAAATTGCTCAACTTTAAAAAGGAACAATTACCGAAAATATTGACGAATCTGCCTAATAACCCAATTAAAAATCTTTAAAGCACGAGTAAAACAGACTAAAGGGGTCATGGAAATATCTAACACCAACGGTGTAACTAAATTCTTTAAAATACATCGCATGCTACTACAACAGTACTAGAGTCAAACAAGCCCAACTATTTTAACTGGGTTGTCGTAGTTTGAGCGTTAATCCTGTAATGTAGGTCAAAGATTAACAGTTGAAGGTAGAGTCTTCCAGAATGCAGTGATGTTAATTAAATTTTTAAAAACTGTTATGTATTTATTTTTTTTTCTTATACTTTGGGCTGGATCGTGTTTATTTTATAATATGTGAAAGCTCATGAATCCAGTAATCGCTTTTATACGATTCATGCCAATCAAATTTGTTGTTCAAATGAAGGTTGATAATTGATTATAACACCAATAATCAGACATACCTGAATAAGGCAATATTTAATTTCTATATATTCTGCATGGTGAAAGCCTGTTTAGTTTTTGTTATGATATTGAGTCTTAATCGAATGCACTTTATACTATTACGGCTCATAAACTTAATGCAGTGTCTCCTTGAATGAGTAAAACCAACCGTATAGATCAAATATCAACGTACTGCTTGGTCTGATTACCAAACGTTATACTTATATTAAGCAATTTACGTTTCTTTTCTTTGATATGTACTGAATACACGGCTTTATAAGAAAACACATATAACCTCTGAGAAAGCTAGTTATATCTAATCTAAAAAATCTGGAAACCAATTAAACGACTGTATTAAAATGTTTTAAGATGGTAATCTATTAATGCATTTTGTTCTTACCTACGTCGATAGTTAAAAACCCAGCATGTTCATCGGGGGCTACTAATTTATATTCAGAAATGTTAAAACAAATCAAATTCTAAAATTCATGCAAAGTGTTTGCAAGACATTTATTTTAAGAATGTATGCAACAATAGCCCCCACCTCACACCATTGCTAGAACGGGTTTGCAAAATAAGGCCTAATTGTATGAATGTATGCAACATCTTTCCCTGCTGGCTTGTATTGGTAGAATAAGCATGACTGTATAAATGTATGTAACAAATATCCCTACGGGCTTGCGTTAGTAGAATAAGTCTGATTACATGAATGTATGCAACAGATGCCACTGTGTGCATGCGTTGGTAGAGAAGGTCTGATTGGATGAATGTATGCCAAAATTGCCTCTGCGATCATAGGTTTGTATAACAAACCTGGTTGTAAGAATGTATGCAACAATTGCCTCTACGGGCCTGGGTTGGAACAATAGCCTAATTGTATGAATGTATGCAACGATAGCCCTTGTGGGCTGGGCTTTGTAGAGAAGGTCTTAATATATGAATGTATGCAACAACTACCCCCTCCCCTGCGATCTTGGGTTTACAGTATAACCCGATACTCTCCATTACATGTAGTACGAGGCAACTATTGGAGGCAGGAATCACCGCAGCTCCGTCGATAGCTGCCTGATTCGCGATTGGAAGGGTGCAGGGTTCGAAACGAACGATCTCTCTCTCTCTCTCTCTCTCTCTCTCTCTCTCTCTCTCTCTCTCTCTCTCTCTCTCTCTCTCTCTCTCTCTCTCTCTCTCTCTCTCTCTCTCTCTCTCTCTCTGAATCAGATACCACTGTGTGTTCTTGGGCAATGAATTTTACTTCTATCGCCACTGCACTAAAGTAACGTACTTGTGGTGATATGTCGTATTTCACCAAATAATACAAAACTTCCCATATAAATAGATGGTTGTGTTAGATGTATGCGTAGTACAACAGCGCTGAAGTCAACGTAAAAATCGAAATAAAGTATCATTGCATACGTACAAGGTACCATTTTGTTTTCAAGTCTAGCAAAGTGTGTGTGTGTGTGTTTGTGTGTCAGTGTGTGTCAGCAAGTTTGTGTATCAATTACAAACGAACCATATGCCTATTAAGTCATGTTTGATTAATTTGTAAGGTTCCGGTAGTAACCAGAGGGGTAGTGCTGTGGGGGACGCATGGGGAAGGTGTTCCCTTTTTATGTGATCTCTTCCCTTTTTCCGCTCGCCGTTGTTATTCCGCTCGCCATTATTTTTCCGCTCACCATTATTATTCCACTCGTCATTATTATGTGGAACATGCAGTCGCGTACTATAAATGAAGCCCGTGGTGACTATAAAGGCCCAAAGAGGTTTTGGCGCCCTAGGACCTCTGCTGCCAAAGGCGCCCAGAGCACAATCGTCCCATCCGCCCCCCCCGCTTTATTACGCTACAGTTAACGTACGTTCTCTGACTTCTTTATTGTGTTCTCTCACTTCATTTAGCACTACACAACTGGTAGAAAAGTCCATTAAAAATATATCAAGGTACTAGATGATACATCAACCTCAACACAAAATTGCAATCCGTTCTTCTTATATTCATATGCTCTCTGCAGATACTATACAAATTAATTATTGCACGATATGGGTAAGAAATGTGGCCTTTACAAATCTGATGAAGATGACTAGAATCAGAATCCCGATTAAACCATGTGGAGTCCCTAGGTAGTCGCAAACTAGGTGCCTCCCCCCCCCAGCAAATTATCTTTTAATAGGTCAAGATCAAATCAATTCAATATTACTGATCCATTGTCGCGGGGCCCCTGTGCCTGTACCATACTCTGCCTATTTGGCAATCCGGTACAGTGAGGAGCCCTGAAAAAGATGAAGAGTGGATGAGAGGACATGGGAGAGAGCTACATGACATGCTTGCTAACCTATTAAAATATTCAACGAAATTCTCACGTGATGTAACACATACCAACAAGATAAGAGCTACCTAAGGTCTTAGCGATTAGGTGGGTAATAAATAATTAAATCTATCATTGCC